GAGAGAGAGAGAGAGAGAGAGAGAGAGAGAGAGAGAGAGAGAGAGAGGGAGAGAGAGAGGAGGGACTGCTTTTTTTGTTTTTTAAATTGTAGTATTAACTAGAGCAAAAAAAATTTAGATTTCGCTCCTCCTACCTCATTATTCAGGTGAGTTCATCATGCATTATTCTTGTACCTTTTCATTAAATTACAAAGAAGATAATTTTACTTGTCTAGGTTCCTTAAATGCTCTGAGGCTGACAAGTGCGATTTATTGCTAAATGGCGTTTTGGCTCTGTAGGAAGTAGATTTTCTACTCGGATGAATGTTTTCCTGAAAACGAGTGGACGAGTAAATTTATGACTCCTACTGATCTGTGTGAGATTCATAAATATGAGTTGGCAACACCTGTGTGCTTACTTCCCTTTTTGAAAAATGAACATAACCTTTTCTCATCTGTTAGCTGAATGAAAGGATACATCAGCATTTCGTCTCGCTTAGAAATAAGAGTTAAAAAAAAATCATCAAGTAAGTGTCTACAAGGTTATACAAAGAAGAGAGAAGTAGTATCTAGTCCTATCTTTGGTGTCCTAAACAGAAGCTTCACTACAGCACGCGGGTGGGGTGGTGTTCGAGGCGTACACAGTGTCACACACTGCGCCTTTCCAAAGTGAATGCCCGACGTCACGAGGGTGACACGTTTCTGGTTTGTGTGCAGTGCAGTGATTGACTAAACCTGATTCAGAGTTTTTTTTTTTCTTCACCCACCCACTCTTGCTTATCAGAATCAACAAACTATTAGTAGGTTAAGAAAAAAGAAAACAGTAATTTAAAGTTGCATTGTTAAACTGTGTCCCCTGTGTTTACAGCAGTTTTTCACTAAACCTGGGACTGTGAAGGGATTACAAAGAAGGTGATTAATATAGTCCTTTTTAAGGTTATGTGATTTCTCCCCCCCACCCCATCCCAGATGAAAGTGGAAAGACCATGGCAACAGAGAGTAAGTGGTCACTGCAGTGTCTTCTCCCTTCAAAAGATCCAACTGCTGCTGAGGTAGAAATCAAACGTTGGCGCCTCCTAATCCTCTTCCGCAGACTCTTGTGAAGATGTCTCTTCGGTCTCCTCCTGGAACACACAAAGGGCACAACCATTAGGCTGTGGGCTGTTCCTACACACAGTTCAGAGATGCCCTGTTTCCACAGCACATGATGCTGGATTCAAGAGAGGAAGTGGATGATTGGCAAGCCCCTCATTCCCAGGGCTTCTTCACCTGTAATTAAGAATCAAGGTATTGCTTTTTTTCCCCCAGAGTGGTCATTAGCCACTGTTGACTTAAGGTTTGATATTATGGCGGCTGGTCAGCAAATTCAACTGTTTGCAGTACAGAGAATGTCAGGCCACTGTAAGCTTACTCACCAATGAAAGTAAAAAAAAAAGAGAAATGGGTACATTTCTTCCAACAGCATGCTAGTCGTCATCTGTGTTGGAAACCCAGCGTACAAGTAAGAAAAATAAAGTTAAGGAGGTCCTTTCTTAAGGCATAAATAAATGCATCCTCCAGGTATTGGTAATAATAGCTGGTACTTTTATGCTACTTACGAGATGCTTTTAGGGACTATCTGTTATTATTCCCATTTTACAGATGAGAACATCAAGGCACAGCAAGTAATATACCCAATGTTACAGGGCAAGTAGGGCCAGGATCTGGGCTGAGACAGACAGGTGCCACAATCTATGTGACTATGACGCTGGTGCCACCATGCAGAGGCAGCATGAGGTCAGACGTGAGCCTGAGAGGGCTGCAGGAGCTGACTGCTACCTTCTTCTCCAAATCGATTTCGTGGTTCTTGTATTTATTAAAGCAAATTTTAAGACAATGACCGAAGTTTGGCATAACTGCTCAATCTCAATGTTCAATCCACATCGAGCAAACATTTAATACTGTGCTGGCCAAGCAGAGAAAATCTAATATACATGTTTTTGCAGGGCCTCCTCTTCATATAAATCTAATTCCTCCTCTTTTCCTTTTTCTGATTCCTTGTGGTTCTGGAATTCGTTGGAGTTTCTAAAAGCTGGCTTGAGCCACCCAGTTCTCTTTCCTTTTGCTTATTTTACAAATGTGCAGTACCTTTCAGGACATGGGTGGTAAAGCGGAGACAATAAACATTTCTGATAAAAGCGTCCTTAGTGAGAGGATGATTTTTATCAAATGCTGCACATTGTCTCATAAGACGGCATGTGAAAAAGATCTGGGAGAAGAGGTAAACATTTACTCCGGCAGCAAACGGAGCCCCTTTAAGAATGGCCAGCTTAAAACAGCTTATAACAGTCTTCATACTTTAATAGATTTGATTTTCCACATGGCTTCATTTTGTCTGGGTGGCTAACTGACACAATTTATACCTCTCTTCCTTTCCCAGGTCACTACAGTACACCATTCAGTAACGCATGCCTTAAAGCTTGCCTGCATTATATGACCAAACTTCCATTCATTAGTGTTTGAAACACTTCAGCTGTGAAGGAGGTCCTAAATGCTAACATGTGTGACGCTTTTGCATAAAAGCAGCAAACAGGAGGGAAAAAAAGCCCATATGAACGAACACTCACACCCTCACATGAATGCACACGCGCACGCATACACACACACACACACACACACACTCACTCACTCACACACTCTACCCTGGGCTTTAATCACAGGCCACTGCTTACTGCAAACTTTTTGCAAAAGGTTTCAAACATTCTCTTCCCCCAAACTGAGGGAGCTGTAAATCCTGGGAATAAACATAAATACAAATGAATGGATTACAGCTCAAAAAATATAACCACGGCAGCATCAAGTCATGAGATTTCACACCGGTTTTGTTTAGTCTGCTTTGGGTTATGTGGGAAATGTGGAACGTATGAAGCTGCTACCTCCACTCTACTCCCAGCCCCCAAACTTCAGGCTTCACACATTTAAGCAGCAGGTTTATACCTCTTGATAGGCAACAGGCCATGACCCTGAGATTCTCTGTGGAGCTCTGGCCACAAAGGAGGATGTAGCTTGATCAAAGCCACGGACAGACGAAATAGAGACAAGCCAAGGTCAGCTGCCCTTTGCCCTTGTCTTTTCACTTAATATTTAAATTCCAGAAAGTCACTAAGCTGTTCAGCAGATACACTCTTCATCCGTCCCCAAATGACTCATTTCTCATTACAACATGAGGTGTGGACTTTGGTTACTGCTCTGAAACAGACCACGGCATAAAATCCAGCAGGTCTATTTTATTCCTCCTTCTCCTGGTTAAAAAAATTAATAGAACTCAAGTTAAGCTGGAAACCCTCCTGGATGTAGCTGTAATTATTCCACTTCAACTGCTCAGTTTTTCTGTACTATCTAGAAACCAAAGTACTTACAAATCCGGAAAGAAATAGAATTTTCAGGCCATGAACTTACAGAGACCTTGTAGTAGATGAAATGTGATCAGCTTTTCAAAACATTCCCAGAACCTTTGCTTGATTTGCGCCCTTGAAGCTCCCGATATGTAAGTGGTTTATTCAAACCCCTTCGATACAACAACTCAGCTGAAAATGACGGTCCCTCATGTTATTTTCTTTACTTAACAGTTCTTAACACAACCACGAATAATTGTTTTATTTATTTAGTTTTTAAATATTTAAATTTGTTATATTCAATGATTGTGATTTTTAAAAAAGATTTTTATTATAATGTAGCTAACATAGTGTTATATTAGTTTCAGGTGTACATCATAGTTATTCAACATTTATATACCTAGAGAAGTGGTCCATCTGACACTGTACCACGCTATCACAATATTATTGACTATATTCCCTATGCTGTACATTACATACCCATGACTTACTTGTTTTATACCTGGAAATTTGAATCTCTTATTCCTATATACCTTTTTGCCCCCTTTTTAACATTCTGAATTACAGATGACATTCAATATTATTTCATATATTAATTTCAGGTGTACAGCATAGTGGTTAGATATTTGCATAATTAAAAAAGAGATCCCCCTGACTAGTCTAGCACCCACCTGGCACTATACATATAATATGACCATATTATTGACTATATTCGCTATGCTTTACTTTACATCCCCATGACTATTTTGCAACTACCAATTTGTACTTCTTAATTCCGTCACCTTTTTCACCCTATTCTCTTGTATCACCCTGATAAATCTAGTACCCATCTGACACCATGCATATTATTACAATATTATTGACTATTTTCCATATGCTATATCCTACACCACCATGACTACTGTGCAACAACCAATTTGTACTTCTTAATGTATTCCCCTTTTTCACCCATCCTCAACCCCCCTCCCATCTGGCAACCATCAAAATGTTCTCTGTATCTATGAGTTTGTTTCTGTTTTGTGTGTTTACTTTGTTCTTTAGATTCCACTTATAAGTGAAATCATATGACATTTGTCTTTCTCTGTCTGACTTACTACACTTAGCACAGTACCCTCTAGGTCTATCCATGTTATTGCAGATGGCAAAATTTTATTCTTTTTTATGGCTGAGTAATAGTCTGTTGTATATATGTACCACCTCTTCTTTATCCGTGCATCCATTCAGGGACACCCAGGCTGCCTTCATATCTTGGCCATTGTAAACAATGCTGCAGTGAACATATAGATGCACATACCCCCTCAAAGTAGCATTTTGGGTTTCTTCAAATACCTAGAAGTGGGGTTACTGAGTCCTTCTTTGTCTCTTGTAGCCTTTGTTTTAAAGTCTATTTTGTCTGGTACAAGTATTGTTACCCCAGCTTTTATAATTGTTTGTTTTCATTTTCATGAAATATCTTTTTCCATGACTTTATTTTCAGTCCGTGTGTGTCTTTCAATCTGAATTCTCTTGTAGGCAGCTTATGTATGGGTCTTATTTTGTTATCCATTCAGCCACACTATAGCTTTTGACTGGAGCATTTAATCCAGCTACATTTAAAGTAATTGTTGTATATATGTAGTTATTGCCATTTTATTTATTTATTTTTTCATCTTAAAAAAGTCCCTCTAAGATTCCTTGTAATACTGGTTTGATACTGAAGAACTCCGTTAGCTTTTTCTTGTCTGGGAAGCTCTTTATCTCTCCTTTGATTCTAAATGATAGCTTTGCTGGGTAGAGTAACCTTGGTTGTAGTTCCTTACTTTTCATCACTTTAAATATTTCCTGCCAATCTCTTTTGGCCTGTGAAGCTTCTGCTGAGAAATCAGCTGACAGTCTTATAGGTAGGTAACTAAGTGCTTTTCTCTTACTGCTTTTAAGAGTCTTTGTCTTTAACCTTTGGCATTTTAATTATGGTGTGTCTTGGTGTGGGCCTCTTTGGGTTTATCTTGTTTGGGACTTTGTGCTTCCTGGGTTTGAATATACATTTCCTTCACCAGGTTAGGGAAGTTCTCTGTCATTATTTCTTCAAATAGGTTTTCAATTCCTTGCTTTCTCTCTTCTCATTCAACCCCTATGATGAGAATGTTGGTATGCTTGATGTTTGCCCACAGGCCCCTTAAGCTGTCCTCATTTTTGTCTTTTTTTTTAATTCTTTTTTCTTTATGCTGTTCTGTTTGGGTATTTTCTGCTACCTTATCTTCTAAATCGCTGATGGAATCCTCTGCATCCTCTAATCTACTATTTATCCTCTGTAATGTATTCTTCATTTCAGTTATTGTAATCTTTATTTCTGACTGGTTCTTTTTATGTTTTCTATCTCCATGTTTATGTTTCCTATCTCATTGTTGAAGTTCTCCTGAGATCATTGAGCATCTGTATATCTAGTGTTTGGAACTCTTTGTCTGGTAGCTTGTCTCTATTTTGTTTAGTTCTTTTTCTGGAGCTTTGTTCTGTTCTTTTATTTGGAACATGTTTCTTTTTTCCCCAATTTTGGCTGCCTCCCTGTGTTTGTTTCTATGTATTAGGTAGGGCTGCTGTGTCACCCGGTCTTAGTAGAATGGCCTTATGTATTATGTAGTAGGTGTCCTGTGGGGCCCAGTGGTGCAGTCTCCCTGGCCATCAGAGCCAGGCGCTCCAGGTGTGTCCCTTGTGTGTGCCCTCCTGTTGTAGTTGAGCCTTGGTTGCTGTTTGCACATCCATGGGAGGAACTG